TTTCTATCTTATTAATCAGCTAAGAATCTTAGCTTTTAAAAACAAAGGGGATTTCATGACTATGGACAATAATCACATTCAGAAAGAATTATTGCAAAATTAATTGCTATTAATTCTGCCAGACATTTGCGGGGGGGAGGATTTTTTTGTAAAGCTGGCATATCCTCTGACGGAATATTCACATTTCTTTGGCACTTATTTGCCTTCTATATGGTGACGTGATTGTGTTTCTCTCTAGCTGACCAGTGGATTGATTCCTTGTTAATTTCTCCCCAGGTCTTTTAGGAGATGTCGTTGACTTTGTCTCAATTCATGCCTGATTTGGCCCAATAAAGAGAATTTTATTTGTGACTTCCATGAGAAAAGGAACAGATAGATAAACAAAAATCTTCTTGTCTTAGGATGAAAAAACCCTTGGTCTTGGCAAATACTCTTTTATGCTTTAAACTGAGCTATTTAAATTATATTTTTAAGGCAACTTCCATAGACCATTATAAAGCAACACATTCTACTGTTTTTTGTTTGTTTGTTTTTATTTTTTCATTTAAAAGAAATATTCAATTTGAATTTTCCACTATCACTGCAAGGAGGAAGACAAATTGCTTTTCCTCTTAAGTTCTTGCAGTTGATTCTGTTCCTTGCTGTGTTGCCGTGATAAATAATGTCATGTGCAACAAGCTCAGGGCTCAGAGGAGTTTGGGTTTTTGTGCTGAGAAGCTCCCACAGTAAGCATGGGGTTCCCAGGCAGCCAGAAAAAGGAAGAAGGGAATGGTATAGAAAGTTCTTTATCACATTTTCTCATTGCTAACAAGGAGTACAAGGAGGGAGTCTCTGCATGGATTACAATAAGTCTCTGGTGGGCAAAGCTTGCAGGGTCGCTGCACTGCTTCTTGCCTAAACTTGGTGTTACTAGCAGAATCTAGCCTATAGAAAGGGGTTTCTAAATCCTATCACAGAAAATCTCTTCCAGAGTATTTTAACTACCTATTGATCAACTGCCAGAAAATGACAACTTGCTATCACTGCTGCTAACTAAAGATTAGGATAGGGAACATGACATATTGGTTCTTCGGTGTTTATTCTCTTACGAACAACAAAAATCATGAATGGCGTGAAGTGGGGAATTGATTCTTCAGTGTTATATCAGTATATCCTGATATAAGGAACAAACCATCAACAGCTGAACTGGGCAAGAGCCAGGCTCAAAGCAAACAAAAGCAGGTTCTTCAAATCACGTGGCTGAGAAGTGGAACACAGGATGCTTTGGGTGCCAGAGGCTTATGTGTGTTCAAAGGTGAGTGGGACAAGTTTATAAAAGACAAATGTGTTAAGGATTGCTAAGTATGTAGCAACCACGTCTGTCTAAGGCAGACTATGACCTGCAAATGCTGGAAGATGGCAGAGTTTGGGAGGGGGATGTACTATATGAGTTTCCTGTGTTCTTTCAGCTGCTGTCAGAGATGGGATTCTGGACAAGGTGGATCTTTCCTTTGACCAGATACAGCTCTTTTTAATGCTCTTGTTAGGCACATCCTTTTTTAAAATAGTAATGCTATCTCACCGCCTCCTACTTTAGCCTCTCTATTATCTCACCCCTCAGCTATTTCTTGTCTTTCTGAGTGCCAGCAGAGATGAACATTCATTATATGTCCAGATGGTACCTTGCACAGTTGGGGTCAGACTGGTGTGATCAAGTGCTTTCACAATGTGTTACTAAGAAATACTGTAGAAAGATGGGGCGTTGTAGGTTTTTTTCTTGTTTTTTGTTTTCTGGGTTTTGTTATAATTGTCATTTGGCTTCTATATCCCAAGTCAAATTTGTTAACACTTTTTGTTAAATATAAAATGTTCCCAGCAATGTAGAGATCTTCTCAGTGTTTCCCAGTGCCATGTAGCAAGCAACTTTGAGGGCTGTGAAATCATGATAGCTTTTACTAATAAGTTCTTGATCCCCTCCTCCCTTAATATCACTGAAAATAATTTAATATCTTGATGGATGAAGATTTGTTTCCTGGTGTGTAAAAGCAAACAACCCTCAGCTGACCCAAGAGTGCGTGTTTTTTTTTTTTTTGTTAAGCTGGTACTTGGACCACTGAATTTTTCAAGCAGAATGATCCTTGCAGGTTTACTGGGAAACTGAGTAGTAACTGTCTGTCCTTAAGTGATCGCAACTGCTATCTATGCAGCATCATGATATTAGAGCAAGTCAGTGAAAGCTATAAGCTGAGGTTGCTGGCTATAAAACAACAGTGCTGTAGCAAGACTGTAACTGTCCAGGGAGAAACATAATACAGGGTAACCTGAAAACACTGGAATTAGAACATGAAAACACTGGAATTGAGAATCTACCATGAACAAGGTGGTTGCACTGTTTAACTCTGACCACAGATTTGTAGTGCATCTCTTAAAGAGGGCAGGTTTGGTCTACATTGAATTCCTGTTGTAAATTTGATTAGGAAAAAATTAATTTCAGGATGATAACTACTGCTGCAGAACTGACAATCTTTTCAGGACATCTGTGTTTTTCAGAACATCTACATGTAAAAGACACTCTTCAAAAGGAGTAATGGTAATTAGAATAATATAGAATCATAGAGTATCCTGAGATGGAAGAGAATCTACACAAGGATCATCGAAGTCCAGCTCTTATACGTGGGCTGAGATCCAAGCCTTTGGAAGCAAACGTTTTGTTAGAAAAAAATGAAGAATGAATAAGACTTCTATATGAATACTTAGATTAAAAAGAATTGGGGAAAAGTGTATGTTATTGTGCAAAAAAGGGCTGTTCCCTAATACCAAGAAGTAATTATGGGTTTTAAAAATTCTTTTCCAGAGACCTGCATACCAGCTTGACAGACAGATTGTTGGAATTTCAAACACTTAGACTAGCAAAAATGTCCAAAAAGGGAAAATCACAGGAATTGCAGATCATTCTGTTAACCAACCTGTTTTCCAAGCTGGGTAAAATTTAGGTCAATTTAGGGAGAGAATAACAAAATCCTTTCTCGTTACAACTTCTGAAATACTTAGAGAAGCTCACTCACATCCGTACATCTCCCAGTCTTCCTCAGAGGAGATGAAGTACACAGGGCGTGTGATGGCAGACACTGAGAGTTTGCTGATGCAGGGAACACACTGCTCTTTTCCTTTGATATAAAGTGTTCATTTAATTAACTTGCTTATGTGACTATATTTTGCTACCAGTTATTTTCAGTAATAAAGTGAAATGTTCTGTTTGTGTAAAACACAAGTAAAGTTGAAACTAAAGCATGTCTTCTCATTTGAAGTAGGAGGCACCTACAATAGAGCTGTCAAGAGAAGGGCTGACTCATTACAATCCCAGACAGTATACAGAGGAATACATCACATTTCCTATGTCTTAAATACCCTGGAAATGCTACTAACTCCAGCTTTGGATGGGTGTGCTGGAAGTTTCTTGCCTGACTGAAGTTCATGCAGCCCTTAGTTTGTGCACACAGGGTTGTGTGGATTGGCTTGTGCATGTGCACTGAACTTGTAAGAGGAGTGAGAGTGCTTAGGAGTTACAAGGAGTATCTTTCTGTCATCCTTAATACTGCTGCAGGTTTCTGAATCACTCATATCTTATCCTTGTGGCCAGGGCAATGGCTTGGGGTCAAGGCATCTCCAGGGCATTTTTGCCTCCTAGCTGCCTCTTCTAATGTGTGAGGACATGGCTTGGTTTCTGTGCTCACCACAACTGCTTCCTCCAAGGTAAATTATATATTAAAAACATGTTTATAGGTACTTCAAGATGTGGCAAGACTATGGTCAGTGTGGGTTGCTGGGATTTTTTGTTTGTTTTTATACTAGAAAACCACATGGGATCTTAAGCAGCATGTCTTTCAGCCTTGCTTTCAGAGTACCCTTTCTTCCTTCCTAACTCTGCCATTAAAAATTCACTTTGGGCTGATACTTGACACTTGAAAGCTCGTCCTGAGAGTTTATTTTTCTGTATGTGCGAATTTCAGAAAACTGGCCATCAAAAAGAGGTCACAATGAACCTTTGTGAGATTTTTTTTCTGAAACAAAATGCACACAGTTGTGCTGGCTGTCTGCTTAGAGGCTGGTGGTGGTGAAGTTGTGTGGCCATGCCTATGTGCCTATTAGCCCTGTCTTATTAAATTTTAAACTGATTGTTCAGACCCAGGCAATTTTTCAGGAAGGTATAGACAAAGACCCTGAAAATACTGACTTTCTACAAATGACATGAAACTAGGTGGCGAACCAGAGGAGGGAGACCGTACAAATGCCCACCCTGTTCTGAGGTGGACGTGAGGGAGCCCATATAGGTGTGCATCTCCAGGGCAATAATCCATAGAAGACCGGATGTTATTGACTCTGCTGCGTATGGAATCACTTGGTTTTAATATGTGCTTTTTGGGAAGTCTCTAAGAGAACTGTGATGTCTTTTTTCCCCTTCTCTGAGTAGACTGCAAGATCAGGCAGCAACACTTTTAGTATCTGGTCCTTTTGTATTGGACAGTTATCAGTCATATGCACTGCTAAAGCATCTTTGTGAGTCGTTGAACAAATTCATTGTAGCAGTGATATCTACCTATCCAGAGTATTTTTAGTTGTATTTGGACATATCCATTGGATTTCAGCTCGCTGATCATTTAAGAGGGCAGAGTAAGAGTACGCAAGCCATCAAGATTTTCACGCTTCTCTGTGTGAAAGACAGGCTTGGGCTAGCAGAAAGTCAAATTCTTTTTGGTAAATTTTATAAATGTTCAATGAAAATGATTGCTTGCAGAATTTGTAAACTTATCTTGCATGTTTCTTGGTGCTGTTGATACTAACCGGGAAAAACACATCTGTAGCTCTTACCAACCCGGTGGGTCTCCAGTTTCACCGTCACGTTTCCTATAAGAAGAGAAATACTGAAACCAACCAACAAATATTTAAAATAGTGACCGGGATGGTATTGATAGCAGATGTAGGGTTCGCAGCCGGGACCTAGGGTTATACTGGTGTTTGCCATGGTGAATGAGGGGTGTCCCAAAGCTCCCGTGAAACACGTGAGCCGAGGAGCATCTCCACGGCCCGGGGGGTGCTCTTTGGGGGCGTCGTTAGGAGTCCTGCAGGCTTGTGCCGGACTGAGCCATATCTCCCTCTTATCAGCTCCAGGCCGGCCGGACGAGGGGAAAGCCCGGGAGGCGGGGGGTGGTTTTCCTCGGGGACGAACAGGACGTGTGGTGAGGGGATGCGGTGAGGGGCCGGGGCTGGCGCCGGGCGGCGGCGCCCGGGGCCGGCGGTTTCCCGGGCGATGGGTGGGGAGTGGAGGAGGCGGAGGAGAAGGAAGAGGAGGAGGAGGAGGGGTCCCCGTGGCTTTATCTCCCACCCGGCTCCGCCCGCCGCCGGCTGCCTCCCGTAGCCGCACCGCGCCGCACCGCACCACGCCGGCAGCGCAGCGCACCGGCACCGCTCCGCTCCTTGGGCACCGGCACCGCTCCGCTCCTCTCCCTGCGCACCGGCACCGCTCCGCTCCCTGGGCACCGGCACCGCTCCTCTCCGCTCCCTGCGCACCAGCGGGCGCAGCGCCGGGCAGGGCAGCGCCCATGGGCTGCGGCAACTCCACGGCCGGCGGCGCGGGCGGGCGAGGTAGGGTGGAGGCGGCGGCGGTGCGGGGCGGGCGGTGCCGGGCCGGGCCGGGCTGAGTGGGTGGGCAGCGGTGGGAGCATCCCCGCCTTGGGCAGCTCTGCGGGTCGGGGGGCTGCGGCGGGCACACGCCCGCCCTCGGTAGGGCTACAGGCGCCGGTTTGGGGGATGCCCGTCCGACCCGCGGGTATCGCTGCCCGCCCTCTTGCAAGAGCATCTTCCTTTCCCGAGCCTGATCCCTTTGCCCAGGGGGCAGAGGATGATGTGGCCTGCCGCGGGCACCGGCGGCTTTCTGGTGCCCGGTTGTCACTAGGATCAGCACCTCCGACAGGAGCTGCCCAAGGCACGGAGAGCCCAGGCCGGGAACTGGACGAAAGGATCCCGCCGAGGGTGTAAGCTCCATCCTCTTTGCTTCCCTATAAGGCCACGAATGCCACTTCTGAAATGAATTTGTGCCACATCTTCTCCTTGCTTGTCGGAGAAGTTGGAGGATGTTCCATGATAGAGGTTTCATGCATATTAATGTGTACGGCTGGCTGTTGCGTCCAGCCAGCTCCCTTATTTGTTCATTGCTGTTTTCAAAAGAGATAAAATCTGGGAAGATGGTGCTGTTGTGCTCTTCCTCCCCTCAGCCCCCGCAGAAAAGGAAAGTACATGGAAACTGATAAGTGGACCTTCACCGTGTAATTATAATATGAACATTTCTCAGTCATTTTTCATCCTAAATGCACTTGACAAACATTGCCACCTGTTCCAGTACCTGTATTAAGTCATTCAAATACACAGCAAAATAGTGGCCAGACCAGTTAAAATTACTGGGTCTCCATCTCTTACTGTTTTGGCTTACTTTATCCAGAGCTTCAGTGGTGCCTTGGGTGGTGCTAGTCCCGACTTGGTCATGCCTGTGAATGATGATACCTTCTCCAAGTTGTACATATGTATGCATGTTCATAAATTGTACACACGTATGTGTGTTTGTGTGGTGTGTTGCTGGTTTACCTGTTAAACTGCACTTCATGCTCACAGAGGAGTGGCTTTTCTGCCATTATTGCTTTCTTGATTTCTGTTAAATGGTTATAAATTAGGTTTTAGGTGTCATGCGTATCTATCAGAGGCTTCTCTCATCCGTAAAGAATGCACTGTATGAATTTGCTTGAACTTTCAGTGCTCTTACTGGAGCTGTCCTGTTTGCACACATGAATTCTCTCCCATTAGTTGATTCCTGCACTGCGGTGAGTGGAAGTTCTTTCTGTGTAAGACCAGTCTAGCTTCATACCATTGGGGTGATCCTTGCTCACATCCCATTTCTGTTTCCTGGGTTAAAGCACCAGTGCAAGCTTCAGAGAAGTTCAGAGGAAAATTTTGGGTTCATTATTAGTCCCTTTGTGGTAGTTTCTAAATTAATGTTGATCTGGCCTGTGGGACTTGTACCAGGGTACAAATGGGTCAATGTCAAATAGACTAACTCTGACAGCAGTGTTATGTAGCAAATTATTTTGAACAAAAATTTTGTTTAAATGTGTCCTGTTGCATTAAAGGAAGTTATTTTTAGATTCTGGCTTGTAAGTTAATAAAGTATTTTCACTGAAGGTATGACCTCTTTGATGGTTAAACTTACTTATACTGTTATTCATAAAATATTTGAACTTGCATTTTTGGCAACCTTTTGTGTGTAATTTAGAAATAGCCTACAGATCTCCAATGGCTTAGCACACGTGAAAAAATAATGCCATGTAAAACACATCATTAGTATATCGGAATTATTACTGTTGTACTGGTAGATTTTTCCAAAGCAAATGCAGCTCTGAAAGGTCCAGTTCTCATCTCACTTTCACCACTGTCAGTCAGAAAGTACTCTGTGCAGTCTATGGTCTTAAAACAACAAACAACTGGTAATAAAAATAAGATGTCAGATGTCTACTATTTATTTGCTTCATTTAGCATTCCTTGCAAAGTAAGGAATTATTTAATAAATTTATTAATAAATAATAAAATTATTTTATATGGGGGAAGGAGAAGATGTACCATTTTTATTTTGAATCCTTGAGCTTTTAATGGAAGTGCAACTCAATATGTTACTAAAAGATGTGAATGCTGTGTAAATACAAATTAATTTTGTGGCATGCACAGCATGACTACATCTTTAGTGCTAAAGTTATGACTATTCTACAGTCAGTAATGTCAAAGCTACAGGTACATAACATGTAATTAACCTGTAACACTCTGTCATATCATAAGACTAAGGATAATATTGTAGTGTACTTCACAGAATACATTATATGTATTCTTATGCCAGTCCCCATTTTCTTACTTTGGTAAAATTCCTGTTGTAGCCTAGCTTGATTTTTCCTAGGCAGATGTATATATAGTGATAGTTCAGCTAATCATATTATCTTCTGTTGCACGGCTAGAATGACATCAGAGGAGCTATCAGCCCTATGGTCTGTGAGATCTAAACTAATAGACATGATCTAGAATAACATTTCTGTCTGTGGTGCAGTGCTCCAGAACACCAATATAACTCACAGAGTTTACATGTTCTTCCCAGAGCATCAGACAGTGACAAAAGGCTCCTGAATTGAGATATGGCAACTTCAGTTATCCAAGTAAATTTATGTGTATACATCCTTCTTAAATCACCTGTCTAGTTTATGTGCTAACTATGTATTATACTTAGTTTTTTTTTAATTTCCCAACTTGCTATTTTCATTATATTTTGTTACCTCACTTTACATATACCCTTCTTTCATGTTATTTCCTGGTGTTTTAGAAGCTCAAAAATAGCTCCTTTTTTTTTTTTTCCCACCCCCTTTCAAAAATATGGTTCTAAATATTAATTTGCTTTTTTTGTTTTTCTGACTTAAGGCATTTCCCTACATTCTAGTATTGCTTTGCTAACAAATTTTAATTGCCTCCTTCTTTCCATATCTATTGTAGTAGCAATGACAGCACCTTAAATTTTGGTACTCATTGGAGGCTGTCAGTCTAGCCTTAATTTAAATGTAAGAAGAAGTTGTTATCCTGTGGAGAGCTTCAAATACAGTCAAGTTATGATGAAGTAGAACTTTCACATGAAGTTTAAAGAGATTTATTAACTTTGAGTTTGGTGGAATGCCCAGGAAATTGTCCTGCCATTCTATTGATCAGGTCAAGTCTGTGTACAGAACTCCCACCTGATGAGTTGAAGTAATCAATTTGAAGTAAATTGATATAATTCTGTCCTGAGTTACAGTGGGGTATAAATAGACTAAATTTATTGATGTTAGGACTTGATTCCATATTGCTGACTTTTGGAGCATATCAGAAAAGAGCCTATAGTAGAAAAATCATTTGTAGTCTTAACAGTTGCATAGATATACGTGTAATTTTGGGGGGGTTATTTGCTTTTATAACAATTTGAGTTATGTACAAGAAAACTTTGTTCATCGAAAAATAATGGGAAAATGTTTCATAATCTGCTCTAAAGTCAGATATTGACTTTTTTTTTTGTATCCGTATTTTTATTCATGTGAGTGGTTGCCTCTCACACTTCTTATGTTTTTCTGAAGCTTTTTTCTTTCACCTCCATTCATGATGCATTTCTCAGCCCAGAGGAGTATCAGCTGTGGCTGTCAACGTCTTTCAACCACCTTTTGTGTTTGGCCTGCATTTAGTGAAATCCCGCAGTGTCACCAACAGCAGCTGCTGTTGTTTTGAAAGTTCAAAACTCCCTCTCACCGAATGGAAGATGCTTTGGAATACGTTCTTGTTCTTCTTGATTTGTGACTGTTTAAATGCTATGGGGTCTTTTGAGGGATCACAGCTCTACTACTCTAGGCAGAATGTTTCTCTTCTGTAATCACTTGGGCTTAGAGCAATACGTGGCTGAATGGGCCTCGTTTATTCTGCAGGCTGTGCTCCTCCTTCCGCAGCTCTAAAATTCCAAAATGCACCCACAGTCCTGCTGTTGTAGATGGTGTGAGCAGAGAGATCACTGAGGACAATTCAGTACTGTCTATGTTTTTGTGGATGCAGCTTCCTGGCTGCTCTTCAATCTGTTGCTGAGGTTAGGGAGGTTTTGGGAAACCAACCAAACAAAAGCCTATCAAGACAAGGTTTGTCGAGTCAAGTACTGCCTTTTTTTTAGGCCATGCTGATATAGTGGGAAAAATGGATGGGCTTTCAAATATGTGAGGCTTTTCTCAAGTCATATATCTAAAACACTATGTGTCTGAGAGCACTGAGTCCTGCTGCTGTGGAACAGCTATACAGTGTTTGTGGATCAGTAGTAAACAAGATTCTTTGGCTGAACTTCTGGCAGAAGGAACTTGAGTAGCTACAAAATTATGTGTTGCTTACTAGACATGCAAGAATTAGGCAAATATGTCAGTGAAGTAACGGGGTGAGGGTGAACAGATTGAACTTTATAAACAAACATGTCTGTATAAACTGAGATGTTATGGGTTCCCTGTGAAGTTCCCTGTTATGGGCTCTCTAGTGAAGAAAACCTTGTAAGTTTCTACACAGATTTTTTTAAGGGCCACCTCAATAAAATGATACTCATAAGAAGCTCAGAACTCTTGCAGGAAGAAAACTCTTTTCTGAACTGGAAATACTTTCAAAGGTACAGTCAAATACTTTAGTGGTATTTGAGTGAATTTGAACCAAACACTTGTTTCACTTTTGCTAGTGAAAATGGGAAATGACACCACCAAAATCAATGGAATCCCATCAACGAAGGTGAGGATAACCTGGTTTGTTGTGCTTACAAAAAAATAGAAAACAATGTGTTTCTTATTATATGTAAAAATGATCTCTTAGAGGTGGATCTGTTTTTATCGTACTTGGTTCTCAGTGTTCTTGTGTGAAATGCATTTCAAAATGCTGCAGTGATTTTTTCAGCAGTGGTACCCTCGCTCGTGTCCAAAGGAAGCAACTGCTGCCATGTGCGAATGCAAGTGGCACATTTCCAAACACAGGTTCATAGCTGTATAGGTCTATCCAAAGCCCAGGCTGATGGGTCTGAGTGACGTCTGCTGTCCCCAGAGTGAGAATGTATGTGTACCATAATGCACTGAAGACAGGTATGGCACTGAGCATGGGCGTGACACTGGGCATGGGCAGTGCGTGCTGATTGACTGGAACTTGAGTATTGCCTCTGGGAAATGTAGCAGTACTGTAGGCACACAGTTCTTCTCACTCATCTTAAGGTTTCAGTTTGTGTATTAAACACTGTTGTTATACTTCCTGCAAGGAAGACATCAGTTTTTCAAGTGGGAATCTAAGTGCTGAGACCTTAGACTCAGAAAAGTCTTGGCAAAGGACCGTGAACTTTTTTTGGAGAAACTGAGTTTAATGCAGTGTGCTTAGATTAAGAAAATAAGAAAGTCATTGTTCTGGTGCAGAACAGGCACAGGACAGGAACAACTTCTTCTGGAAAAAATTAAAAATCCTGCTAGCTCCAGCTATGGAGTTAGGCTATTCAAAACCCGTGTTGTTTGAAATGTTGCTGATGCGAACGCTCCGTCTAGATGTGCAGGGGGGTACCCTGAAGGTATATAGCTGAGCTGACTCTAGATGAACTAGCCTTGGTAGCAGAAAATATCTCCCTGCATCGGCTGAGATTGAGCTTGCATGCAGCATTGCAAGGCCAAACTTCCACCTGGACACAATTAATTTGAAAGGTTTCCATGCAGTGCTTTATAGACGTGCTTGTAAAGCCAAAAAGTCTCAGAAGGCTGCCTGGTAGAATAAAGTTTTAAAGTAATGACCTGAGCTCACTGTGAATAGAGATACTCCCTCCAACTTAATTAAGAGTTTCTGCTGATACATATAGCTGTACTGAGATTTTGCTGACTCTAGAAGCAAGACTAACAGAAGAAATGTGGACAGTCTTACACAAACGTAGTCTATGTTGTTGCTGGGAAATAGAGAGATAAAGTCATAGGGAATGGGAATGATATTGTGTGTTCAGGAGTTAGCTGTAAAAGGCAATGTTTCCTGCCATTCAGGCAATCCCTTCTGGTAGACAGAGCTAGACTGCTTCTTCTTTCCATTTAAAATAAGAATGCAGAAGGCATATCCTTACTCATCAGAGAGACAAAAGATGTTTGCTATTTATGTATATTTTTCAGCCCAGGAAAAATAAAAGTTTTTCAAGAAATGAAGTACCGTGGCTGAAAAACCCCCAACCTACTTTCAAACTCATAAAATCTTTTGTATTGACAGCTAGAGTTTCTTCAGGGTGAGCTCAGATCACCTACTGCTAAGTATTAAGAGGAAAGGAGAAGTGAAAGGTTTTTCTAATGTCTGCCCTAGCTTGTGTAATTAATAGAAGGGATAATTTGCTGGTTACTCAGCTGAATTATATACCAGCAAGGGCAACATGGCACTAATGACCTGGGAGGAACAGGAAAGAGTTTGTACTTCAGTGAATGTTTCTCTCCCAGCAAGAAGAATCTGAGCTACGAAAAAAAAGATCAATCACTGAGACCAGGCAGCCAGGTGGTAGCTTATGCTTTTTTCATTTTTTTTTTTTGTTAAATAGCAAGATGGATTAAGGGATGGTTGATCTCTTTAGATGTCTGGGGCTTTGGATGGATTGTGTCCCAATGTTTATAGTAGTTCTGTCAGGTGATTTTATAAAACTTTTTTTATCTGGAAAGAAGAACAAAGCAGCTTTTTACTCATGTAGTGCCAACTTTACAACTGCATCAGATGGCAGAATAAGCAGATATTTGGGAGTAACTGCTTGGTTAATTGTGTCAACTTTGTATCAGACCAAACCATCAGAAGACTGAGCAAAGTGAAGCATATAAAATTCAGAAAGATTAGTTTTGTCTTATGTTGCTCTCATCCTGAGTGACTGCACCTGGGCACTGGTCCACAGCAGCATCATTTTCACACACTGAGAGTCTGGCTGAGATCTAAGCATGACAGACTTAAGGGATAGTATGGATAATCATTAAGGATAAACTGAACAACCATGAGAAATATGTTCTTTGACAGTATCAAAGTTCTGTTGCTATTTCTGCATTGTTTAGGACAAAGAGAAATGCTTACTGTGCTGTTGGTGGGTTTAGAGGATTATGCCATTATCTGATAAACATGTACTTTTTTTTCCCCCCAGGTGCTACAGGGACTACTAAAGATGTGTAAGTACTTACTCTACTCTTCTCTTTCAAGTATGTTACCCTGGATTTATTTTCAGTCTTACTAACCTTATACTTTAGTCATACATGATTCATCTGGCTCCTAACATATAATCAACACAACCAGATGTTTACTGTCTTTAGTGACTGCTTCCATCTCCGCAAAACAACTCCTTGTCTTGTTTACTTTTCTACTGATTTCTTCCCATGTTATTTCTCTAACAAAAATGTCTTTTGTCTGCTTCTGTTGAGATAGTTGTCTGGCAGAGGTGGTTACTTCAGACTGCTTTTCACCATCATGTGCCAGTACACCTTTTTCCCAGGGCCATATAATTGTATGAAGGAACCACAGGAATTTCCACCAGACCCAGGGAGAGATTTAAAGAGCTACTGAGACAAATTTCTCCTCTTTGCATGAGACCCAGTAACCCATCTGACTTCCTTTTCAAAGTACCCACCTCTCTAGATGTTCTCTGCATTAAAGATAGTATCTATCCTCTCGACACTGGGTAGCAGAGGGAGCCCTACCCATCCTGTTTTTCTGTAAATGTGCAAGGTCTTAATCTCTATTGTCCTATTGCTTCGTGCCAACTTTGAGTTTTCAGAAAAGCAGCAGTGAAAAATCAACTTTTCTCAGCCCATTTTTCGTTTGCTGATGCAGAAACATACAGGAACAGCTTTATTCAGCCATAAATTTATTTTTCTATCAAAGGAAACATTAAAGAACTCCTCCCGAGGTCTTGCCTTCTATTTCATATAATTGGTATTTTCCATTAGGGTTTGCAACTGAGGGACCTGGGAAAGATTGTTATGCAATAGGAACATTCTTCTCTTTTATTTACTTCGCTTAGAATAACTACTCTAATTAGACAGAGGAATCCTGGTGTAGAAATGAGGGCTGTTGAGTCAGATAAACAAGTGGAGAGAAGAGCTTAACAACAGACTTGTCCCTACTATTAGAGAGCATGGCTGAGAACTAACAACGGGTGTCACTTGGCTGATGAACACTGCTGTCAGAGATACTCTGGAGGTCTGTGTTACCTGTGCAGTCTGTTTCCTGGGTTTGCAGTGCCAGACAATAAACAAATTACAGAAGGCAGTCCTGTGAGGAGCACCTTCTTGATGCAGCCTGCAGCATCCATGCCCTCAGCACTTCTAAATATATAAACCTACTGATTTAATTTATATTAGGGTCTTTTTTATTGTTCAAGTTGGATGATTTAAGGACTGACTTAGAACTGCCTCTCTCTCTTTGCTATTGATAGTTTTAAATTTTGAAATCACAAGCACTGCTAAATTATGAATTTAGTAGGCGTGTATCAGTGCTTTTAAAGTATGGGGATATAGAGAACTGTGTTTTTATGTGTGTAAGCATTTATAGGGCCAGGCTTCAGGAGTTAAAATGAGAGCATCCTACTTATTAGTGTGAGATCATCTGTCATGCTTCAAATTAGTATTGAGATAACTTAGAAAAAAAAAATAATTACTAGTGCATTCTTCAACAAAGTGAAAGAGTCAGTCCTGGAGTCATTACCCTCAGAACTCAGAAGTTTCATAGAATATTCTGAGTTGGAAGGGACCCACTTGGATTATCAAAGTCCATCTCTTAAGTAGCTGGCCCATACAAGGATTGAAACCCATAGCCTTGGTGTTATTAGCAACATGCTCTAATCAACTGAGCTAATCTCAGGGTTCTCATTCAGATTAAGATTAGTAGAGCCAGCCAAACAACCCAGGTGAGTCAATAGCATGGTTGAACCTTCTTGTCAGACATTAGAAACACAGATCTGCTAATCAGGAATGGTAGTGATGGCCCAAAAGCCTTAAATTTGTCATTCTAATATTTAACAGCAGATTTTTATGAAGGAAGAAAAATATCAGAAAAATTGTTTTAGTTTCATAGAAATGACCAAGCAGATGTATATTAACTAACATTATAGATCCACAAAAGCTCGTATTTTACACCTTTTAACTGTCATCAGCTAAAAATTAAAAGTTTCTCTTTAAAGAAACTTCACTGGTTTTTGCCATCAAATTTCAGTCATATCAGTTCTGGTTCAGAAAAGCATTTAGGTGTGTCCTTACTTACAGCATGCTTTTTGACACAGAATCTAGTTAAGAGATTTCTCGTTTCTTGACTGTGACTCATTACCAAGGCACCGGTGTCTCCTGGAGTGAGCAGCCAGGTGGAAAGCAGAAGGGTTGCTCTGAGCCATCCTGAGTGACTGTGGGGAAGCTGCTTTGCCCTCTGGGCCTTGAGTTTCTCCACCAATTGGATAGGGATGATGATACGATCTTCATATGGAAAGTTCTGTGAGACTGAGGGCTGTGTGGTGACAAGAAGGACAGAGAGTCTGAGAATGTGTTTCCATGGCGTGCTCCAACCCAGAATCTGTCAGCCAGCTTCAGCCCGCCCTCCTGCCGCACTAATAAGGAAAAGTACATCACTGCTAACTGGAAGAGCTTAGATGTAGCAAGGATAAAGTATATGCCAGAAAGTATTGCAATGCCTGTGGTATTCAGAGTGTGGCTAAGTCTAAGGAAAGGTTAGTAACAGTAGTAAGAAAAGGACAGAGAAGTTCAAGCTTGTTTCAAAATATTTGGAGGAAATCCATCAAATACAAATGACAGGCCCTTGTTCCTGACAAACAATGGGAATCTGAGGAGTAGTTGTCTGTCACTTGTGCAAAGTTTAGTGAATCATTGCTGGTGGGACTACTGAGTACGGCTAGAAAGAGTCTGTATAATGGTTAGCACAAGCAGAGCCATAAAAGCTGAGGTAAGAAGAATATGGATGGAATGAATTAACATGAATGGCTGTCATTTGATATTTAAAATATTGTGTGAGAAATGGGAGCTTCTGTTACCATCAGGTGGACATAGGATTGATGAATGTAAAAGCTGACAGTTGAACCAAGTGTGGTTTTCAGACTTTGGGTGACAGGGAGCCTCTTGGAACAGACAAAACCCTACCAAAAAAGCGCTTATTCAGCTGAAAATAGAATGCCATTATGTGGATTTGCTGTTAAATCTGGCTACAGGACTCCACCCATGTTACCTGCTGAAAGCTGTGCTCTTGGTTCCTCTGCAGAACAAGTCAACAACATCAGAGGGAAGAGGCAGCAACACAGCAGCAGATCAGCATGAAGCACATCGGACTGTTATGTTCCTTTCGCTGTCTGTCCCTGGTGCAGAAAATCTTATCCTAGCTTGCTCTCCCTGGAGGACTGTTGGACTCCTGTATCCCATACTCTTTCTGTGAGTCCAGTAGATGTGGCAGTGGGAACACTGCTGAAACCAAAGGAGCTTCTTCCTGTTCTCATTTCCATGTGGTTGAGTGTTCCCATTGTAGCTCTGTTCTCCCGAGCCGCCTGTGTTCACCCAGCCTGGGCACAGAAGCAGCAGCAGCCGCAGTGGCTCAGCAGACATTTGAACATAATGAGAAATTAGTGGGCACTTTTCGAGAGGGGCCCTTGAGCCACAGTGTGGGAAGACAAGAGATGTGTGAATATGTGAAATAAATAAACTAGAGCAGCACTCCTTCTCATGCTGCTTGGAAAGGAGTTCCCAGAAAGGTGTGGAAAATGGCATCTTCCATAAGTGCTATCACCAGATTTTTTCTTTCTTTTTCCTCTCACACTTCCACATTCCTCCTGTCTCTGCTCACCTCCTCTTTCCTGGCAGGACTGCAACAGACTGCACCCCAGTCATCACCCAGCCCAAGAGCTGTGGTCTGTACAAACCCAGATTATTTTTGCTGTTGCACATCTGAAGGAAAAGGTATTGCAAAATTAGACCTTGTTTTATAGCTATTAAGAGGAAAGGAAGAAAGCAAAGGTGTAAAAAATCTCTGTCTTTTTAATCATAGACCTGGATAATTTGTTTTGGTGAGAGAATGACAACAATGGTCAGTGATACCCCATTACAAAACATTTCTAGAACAGAAGAAGATAGTCCTGTTACCTAGCAGAATTTTTAAAAAACATTAATTTCCTGTTGGACAATATGGATTATTATTCTTACAACCCCATTTTGGAGGAGTTGTGTATGAAGTTGTCAGTGCTTTTAAAGGATTCTTTTCTTTGGAGGGCAGTTAATCTGGACTATAGAAAATGTTCCCAGTTGTATGAGAAAATCAATCCTGTGACACATTCAGTTGGCTCAACAGAAATGATTGTGATCTTTTGGCACTCAAAGTCCTTTCCTTAAAGTAGTATTTGTTGAGGTGTTTTTTTTTGTACCTAAAATTATATCCTCATTTCTACCCATTGATATACACATGCTTTCCATTTTCTTCAGGAGAAATTGGACCACAGTAGGACAGAGCATTTTCACAGTCTTAAGGAAAGTTGTCTCTGCATTCTTCTGGCTGTGTGTGTGTGAGGACTGTAAGGTGACTTAGGCTACTTCGTGGGATCACGGGAGATGAGAGATGCCTTCTGAAATGGCACTAGCTCTTCCAGGGAGGAATGACAGGTGGGCCAGGGAACGAAGAGTTTATTGCTCAGTCTCTCTTGAGTGGTAAGATGTAGACAAAGACAGTAGATGAGGAGGCTCAATGCTATGCCTTGCATGAATATTGTTTGCAAAATTGCAGAATAATTAGATTTACCTGAAACCTCTGCTATTAAAAAGATCTGTGTACCCCTTATTCAATGTACTCATGTAAAAAGGATAGTTGTTAATGTTCTGCCCCTGGTGGTCTAGTGGTTAAGGGCCCCAACAATTAACAGTAGGCACATCAACCTTTTAGAATAAATAAATGACAGTAAGAAAAGTCATATGTTATTGTTCAAGGTCATAGTTCAGAAATTTCTACAGTATAGATTTAGCCCTAATGCTGGGTAAAGGCCAGCTCTCAGTTTTATTGCCTGGGAGCAGATCAGCAATGCATGGATCAGCTCATGATGGGGGAGTATCTTTGCTTTGCTCCCGTAGTCCAGGCAATTAATCCTTCAATGGGAATATGCAAGTGAGGATACCTGGATGAACAGCCTGTGCATGAGCACTTCCACAGCAGAGCCCACTTGGGTCATGGTGCACCTTCATTCTTTGCAGCCTTTCCTGAGGTACCACTGTGACCATATTTCATGGCTCCTGCAGTTCATGATTCCTTCTTGGGCAGTTATCATGGTTGCCCCCAGTTGTAGGGAAGAAGTGAAGGGTGTCTGTGGACTTAAAGGCACTCAACCTATCTTGCCTCTATTTTTATTGCTATGTTGGTAACTTACAGACTAAGCTAAAGTGCAGCTGCTGCCCCAACCATACCCAGCCATGCAAGCAGAGCTCAAAATCCAAATATTTAATCAAAGATGGGTGAGTGATTTGTGTGAAGACTGAGGTTGAGGCCCAGACTGAGACTGCAGCACCAGCACTATACCCTGAGGGAGTAAGAATAATGTTTTTATATTTTCCGTACTACGTTTGCCTTCACATCAGTGCTGATTACTTTACCCTCTGCTCTGGTTCAGCTACAGTGGACAGTATTTCAGTGGAGGGAATCAAACCTCAGTGACTCCCTATCGATCTACAGACTGACCCATGATTTTACTCTAAAGATAAAAGAGAAGTAATTGCCCATTTATAAGGTATTAATAGCAGTAATTTGGTTTTGCAAACAACGGACTTTGGGAATTGCAGTACATCATTTTATAGAGAGGCCCTGTAGCAGCTCTTGGCACAGCTGCTATGAAAGTTTATGTCTCTTCATCCTCATTCCCATTCCAGCAGAAATACCCAATCCCTTCCAGTCCTCTTTTGGGGGAATAGGATGCCAGGCTTGTTCCCATTAAGTGTGGAGCAGTGTGGGGACTCACTGAGGAAAAGTGTTAATTTACCTGTTTCAGCTCCCAAATCTACTTTCAGGCATCACTGGTAGGGGTCATGAAAAGTAAGCTGCATCTATTCTCAATCACTTCTTTCTTCTGCACATTGGATTGGAAAACTGTCACTCTTTTTATAATTGTGTGACTACTTTTTTGGATGGTTGTTGGCCTGAATTAAACTGGGATCAGAAATAACCCCCTTCTTCCCTTACTCCTGAATCTACCCAGATGGTAATAGAGCACCTGAAAGAAACAATCTGCTAATGTGCTTTGTATCTTTTGATATTGCAGAGCAGAAGAATCTGTATCAGATGATGACAAAAGGAGGTAGGTACTTGACTGGGGCTGGCTTTATTTGCAATAGGCTGCAGTGAGTTTTGCCACCAGATGTAGATCCTTCCTTCCCTCCTAATTCCCACCAAAAAAGCAGAGAAAAAAAAGACAAGAGAGGAGGAAATCTCACACAGAGCCTGATATTGATAAGTCTGCCCACCCTGTTATTGAGCTGGGGAGATGAGAACTTTGTGGCAGAAAGAGCACATTATCTCACAGCGGTAGGTGATGTGCTAGATAAGGGCCGGAGGCCTCTGCCTTCACACCAACCCTGCCACAGAGGATGCCATTAACACTTGTGGGAGATCTCTGCAGGGCTGGAAGCTGAAGGAAGTATGAGCCTATCATCAAACAGATTAGAAATCAACTCACGGCCCCAGGAGCTGAAGCAGGTGTGATTAATTTGCCACCTAACGGGGCAGAGCAGTGTAGTGGGAGTCTCTGCAAGTAACTCCAGGCACAGCAGAGGCTCTCAAGGACTCAGTCTTTTATCTCCCTGCATCAGTTAGTCCCTGCTTTTCATATAGGCCTCAGAGCCAGACAGTATGCTCTGTGAGGCTATGAAAGTACTTAACACTCTTGTGGTTCTTCCTACTAACAGTTTTCTCAAAGTGTGACCCTAAGCGGGGAAAAGCAGGTCCTATTTGTTAATGAGGTTAAAATGCTGTTTGACTGGTGTGTGTTGTTTGAAGTAAGGTGCTTTGGTGGTCCCAGTGTCAAACATCACTATGAGATAAACTCTGTCCTCAGCTGGATATATTCAGTGTCTAGAAGAAGCTGGGCATGTGGGGTTTATTGTCACAAGACAGTTGGGATTTAATAATAAATAAATAAATAAATTTTCACTCCGTTTTTTTGAGTGAAAAAAATAGCTCCTTTCACATGCTTGGATCCCAATTAAGAATAAGAGCTGGCCTCAGGGATTGTTTTGGTCTTTTTTTGCTTGGTACCATATTAGCAAGCATGCGGCACTTAATATGCACTTCTCCCATGTCCATAGAAAGGAGGGCTCCTCTATGGATGCTCGTGCAGAGGTGCTCATTTCTCTGCCCATCCATGGTGTCTGTAATGCTGCTGCGTGATGTTGACAGTATAGGGAGAAGTGTGACGATTAAGCTCTGATGCCTATTTGATTGTTTCTTAAACCAGGAACTATGGAGGTGTCTATGTTGGCCTGCCATCGGAAGCAGCTGCCATGGTTTCCAGTCAGACGAAAGCTGCACCGAAAGGTATCGCAAGGTTGCGTATTGCATTTCTCCTGCTTTCTCTGGGTAATTTTGTCTAGTATGTCCTTTAAGAATCAATTATTACTTCAGACAGACTGGCTAGCCTCAGAACCTCTTAAGGCAGTGGGCCTATTTGTAATTGTCAAAGTGATTGTTCTCATTTATTTTGATTTTAGCACGCTTTTGCAGAAGGTCCTAGAGCGGATGCTGACAGTGTGGTACATTGTCTTCTGAACAGCTTCTCCAGACTCTGAGTGCTCTGTGAATTAAAAGAAAACAAAACCCTGTTAGGACTAGGAGGCTGTGATAGATGCACTTGCAGAGCCTCAGCGCTATTTTTAGTTTTGAAGATATTTACTTGTATTGTGGTGAATTCCAGTAATAACAGTTAGTAAGTGCTTGCTTTCAGGTTTATTTCTGTTCTTACATGAAAGCCAGCAGAAACTGTTTCTTTCCCATGTTAGATTTTTGAACAGTGGGAAGAAGCATTACCTTTATGGGTACTTAATAGAAAAGTCATAAACATATGATTATGAAATAATGTAATATTCTTTTGATTTAATACAGCAAAATGCTGCTGTCACATACATACAGCGCAGTGTTTAGTCACTGACTTCTAAAATTTGCTACAATGAAAAACAGTAACATTATTAACCAAAATAATAGTAGCTGGTTTTTGAACAGTACTGCCTTTGTTGAAAGGGTTTTTTAAAATGGTATTCTAAATTAATGATATGTTACAATGTTTTAACCATCTTTATCTTTTGTTTTCTAATTAAGATTAGAAGGAAATAAAGACATCAAGATGCAAACAGCTGGAGGTACAGTATGTCTTAATTAACATTATGTGCTTGGAATGTATTTGTTGAACAGAAACAAGGTAGCAATACTTCCTGGTGAAGTACATCAGCAGTGCTTGTGTTTGTATAGACCAGTATTTGTAGAGACAAAGCCTTTTCCAGGAATGAGTAATTTGCAGTTAGAAAACATCTTCTCTGTTTTGAGAAGGACTTTGAGGACCAAAGTGTGTCACCCACTATGTAATGTACTGGAGCTTTCCTCTTGCTACGGGAGAATCTGTGGGGGCTTCGTTTTATACCAGCTAAAATAGGGCATTGAAGATTTATGGGCTCTGCTCCTGATTTAAGGGTTTTGACTAACTAACTAAAAAAAGTCCTTTATAAGTTCATGTCTGCAGAAAAATAAAACAATCTAAGTTTCTGCTCAGAATTTGAACAAAGTAAACATTGATAATTTTTGATAGGGAACTGTTCTGATGTCTGGCCAGTGAGGAGCAGGAAATTATAAAGCTGCCAACAATTTCCATAAGAAGCAGAACCCTTTCCTAATTTAGGTGAAGAGGCAGAAACAGTTTTGGCTGGTCTCAGTGCTGGACACAGGCCTAGTAGAATGGAAAACACATAGTGAGTATCTTTAGTCCTTTAATCATATGAATGGTTAAAGCTCCATGGGCTCTTCTAGTAGCAGTCTTAAACAGGAAGATCTTCAGTTGGTCTTCACAGCTAATTTCAGTTACCTGACTGAGATGTCTAAACTAGTAACACCATCACCCTTGACCAGGGCAAGGCTGAAGCACCTTCTTCAGGTTGCAGCTTTCTATCTGTGGTTTATGAACAGAGTCTGGGTTAGGCCCTTGTCTGGGTGCTTTAGTTAAATGCCCGAGGTCGGGTTGAATCAATCACTTGACATTTTTTGCTATTTAGAATAGCTGAAAATGCACTTTATTCATGCAAGATCAGGGCTTGGCTGCTGACTCAAGTCTTACCCACATGGCCAGCTTTAAATCTACAGAGGGTCCTCTGAGCTCCACAATTTTAGGTACATGTGTGTCTGCAGGTCATAAACTACAAATCTTTCAGCTTCTAGTGACGACCTAGTTCTCTGGTTCATGCATAGAGTGTTCTTGTATTGCTTTACCAATATTGCTTTACCAGTATACCTAAATCTGTTCCTTTCTTATTCTTGTTTTTGTTTTGTTTTGTTTTGTTGTTTTAACAGTCTGCTAAGACCAGTTGCCAGTGCTTTAGAGAAAGCTGTCTTTGTGCTGAAGATTTTTATATTTATGTAGCCTTCTGGAGACCAAGAGAGATCAGAGCACCAAAAAATCTAAACTGTTGCAAGTTCCAACTACGGGTAAAGCTTAAAGTACAGCGTTGCATCAGTTTCCTGTGATGGTTGCATTATGGAAACCTCCTGCTGTTCTCCAGTGAAAAATGACATTAGTGAACTCATGGTGGATGTTTCTGCACAAGAGCTAACTTTGATGATCTGCAACTTATTTCTCTGTGGCCATATTGCAGATTTCATCAGCTATCAGCTACGCTTCATATATTTTCTCCAACAATTTTTGATAGATTTTATATAGAAAACCATCACTACTATCCACTGAATAGTTCCTATGGTAGGTTCCTGTAAATTAATTGTTAATTTAAATCAGAGTAATATATTTGACAGGTTTGCATCTTTTGGTAATATTGCAAATTTTAATACTTATGCTGTGAAAACTTGAGAATAGGATGAAATGAGCATAAGACCATCGGGTTCTTTATAATTATTGCTGTCACTTTTATACAGTGAGACAAATATTAGTGTTTATTTTCAACATTAAAAAAGATAATGTTCAAGGAAATTTATTTCAATAAGAACAATGTACTTCATCATAATATTTACATGTCTGTTTATATTTTTCTTCAGCTATATCTCTTTTATAAAACACTACATGTAAAAAAATGCTAATGAACTGAATTATTATGTTATGTATTCTATTTCATGAAATATTATAATGACATGCCCTTGCATAAGGATGAAGTGATAATATTTTCAGTGCTGTATCCTCCCGACTTTTAGAGGATTTTTGATCACTATTAGATTTTTGTATCCCTGAATCATCCATAAGCATCTCCAGTATGGCAAATTGAAACAGAATGAGTGTCATTATTACTTTAGCAAATTTTTGAGGTTTTAAAGTTCATTAATTTAATAGCAACTGTAAGTTTTCCGCAGAACATAAAACAGATTGTACATTTCCATATGGCTGAACAAGTATTTAAATTATTAAAGCCTTTTGCATAATTCTTTAGTAAAATTTTTTTAATGGGACATGATATGCCATACACTTTAAACAAACAAATAAACAAAAAAGCCCAACCCACATTAATGTATTACTGTAGATTAATGGCCACTTTGAAAATTAAAAGAAAAAAAGCCAACCAGAAAATCTGGACATGAAGAAGTAAACCACTGTGAACCATGGAATTTCTGCCCATTTAACCAACACCTGTCATGACTAGTGAACAACCTTTGAATATGATTTCCAGCAACTCGCAGCTTTGACTTTTAAATAGAAGTAGTTTGATGTGAGGCTTGCAAAAAGAGATACTTAAAAATATTCCTTGCTTGTCTTTTTTTAAGTATTTATGACATTGTTTATTGCTGTTCTCTAGAAATCTGCTACTTGGGTTATCAACGATTTCAGGCTTCCAGCTCCTGAAGACAAATATGCATCTCATTCTTGACCCCTTTGACCTCAAAGGAAGATTAAATAAGCTGGAAGATTAAGATGTGATGTTAAAATATCTCAGTGTGAATGAATGTCTGTTGATTTTTATCTCGTTCTGCAGTTGCAGAGTCTTATTCTTGCAAGCCAAGCTGATGAGCACTCAAGTAGCACTGAGTAATAAACATGCAGGCTTGCTTCCCACCTGCTTGCCATAGCATAAGGGTATAGTTTCTACTTCACATGCTCCACAAATGGTCTAAACGGTTTGCACAGCACAAGTTTATTTAGTACAAAGCAATTTAGGCCCATGCCTGACCTGATCACGATTGCCTTTCCCAAAGCAGAGGAAACGCCAGTCGTTCTAGGATACGTCATCGTTCAGCTAGTGCTTGAAAAGCCAACAACAGATGCCAGTAATCAACCTAGTTGTTTGTCCACTTCTATCCTTCATTTGCTGGGAAGAATTGTCAAAAAGGTGGACAGGGCTGAACTCCAACATCACTCGTTCTGCTACTGACATCTGAACCCCCGTGTGTGGGCGGAAGAAAGAAAGAGGTGATCGCTAATGAACAGCTCCCACCAGCTGGTGGTGGGACAGTTGCAAGGGTACTTTTCTTGGTTTACGTCATTACTTGTTTTTCCTGTGCAGAGCTAAAGAGAAGCTTGGAGCACTTTGCAGAATTGGTCTTTTAATGTTTCATCCTCTGAATGTGTGGGAGGTACGGTGGTTTCTTAATCTTTTTGTTCCTCTGCATCATTTAGTCTCAAAAGCTTACTGATAAACTGACAAATGTTCAGCATCATGGACTGGAGTCTCTAAAATAGATACATGTTTATTTATGCTATGCGGGCCTGTACCCATCAAACTAAATAGCCAGGGCCATGCCCTTGTCTCTGATTTGCAGACTCTTTTGTTTTCCCAAGGACAAGATCTAGAAATTGCTTGACAGGACACTATATTCTGGTTTGGCCGAATCCCACTTAGGGAACTGATTTTCTGCTCATCAAAATTCCTCTATGGTGAGCAGCCTTTGTTAATAAAAGCACATGATCTTTCATGGAGAAATGGGTGTATCTGCTTTTTCAAAACTTACAACCTATGGATATTTCTGTTAGGAGGAGGAACAGAAAAGAAACCCTATATGCCAGCTGCCAGCTGTGCATTTGATGATGGCATCCTTGGAGAATATTTAGGCACTCAAATGATGGTTCAGTGTAAGAACTAAGAACAGAAAACAAGGAGCCATTGAATGACAGAGTTATTATTAAGGAATATACTTTGGTTTAGCTTACCATTTATAAAGAAGAAACATTTAAATGTTGGGGCTCTAATACCATTTCCTTTGTAGCTGTCACTCTTTCTCCAACCAGAGCTGAGGAGCCAGTGAAAATAGTTCAACAAAGAGTGGATTAGGGTTTTGTAATCTCAGAATCTCTGATCTGAGATTCTTTGACAGCCCAGAAATATGCTTCAATTCACATAACTCAGAGAAGTGACTCTTGAAAAATTCTGGAGTATGGAAACATAGGATTGAAACTGCGGTTTATGATTAGCTGAAAAACAATCAAAATATCTTGGACTGCAAACTTTGGTCTAGTACAAACTATTTCACCTCGAAGACAGCTGCTCTTTTGAATTATACTGATGAAACAATGCATTTAGTTTGCTTTCTTCTTAATGCAGGACCTGGAGCTTTGTTGTAAGGGCCCAATTTCTCAGTATCTGGTTAGTGCAGACAGAGGCACTGCCCATCTTGGTTGTACCATCTACATCCTAGTGTAGTTCAAAGGATGTGATGTAGATCTAAACATCTGCATGACTCAAGGGTTAAATCTGTCACTAAGAGGATTGCAGAAGACCCAGTAAAGGCTGTTGTAAGCTCAGTTAGGACTTCATTTACTATAAATGAAATCCTTTCATACCAAGGAGTCCCCACAAGGCTGATGCTGCAGAAATTTGTAAAGGTGAAATTTGTTTCTAATGAACACAAAGTACTAATTTACTTGATTTCACGTTGCCTGTCTAGCAGAGGAGTCTGTGCTATATTGGACTATGGCTGATATGGCATCACTATTCCCTGTCACCCACGCAAGTCTAGCAATTCTCAATAATCATGCTTCCCAAGCAGTCGGTGAGTCACTGCTGATCTGTTTTCTGCAAAGTAGACCTCTGTTTGGTTCCCATGGTGATCAGAAGTGACAATTATTACGGACTGCTACTACAGTTTCTCAGTTGTGTGTACCCACTAAAAGAAGCTCTTACCTGGTTACAGCCCCTTGGTGTTTTGCGGTACATCATTATTGCTTCCTGTTGACAGCAATTTAAACACTTCAGGTGAATTGCCTTTGTGGAGAACATGCTGAAGGAGGGGGATTTGTGGAGTATTTTTGTTTTGCAATGTATTTAGAACAAGAGCAGGAGAATAATGTCTCTGTAAACTTTCCATAGAACAATGGTGTGCCAGTATTGCAGGAAACCTTTTGAGGCTGGGCAGAATGATCCAACCCTTGTTTTAAGAACAAACATGCACAGAACTTAGATTTATTATAATAAAAGCCATTTCATTTTACACAATCTGACAATTTTTGCTGTAACTCTAGGTTTTCCAAACAGAAGAGTATTTCCTAGACAGCAGAAACCTGTCACCCACCTTGTGGGACTTTCTGTATACTGGTCACTATCTGGTCACTATTAAAATACCTACAGCTGAAGGTAGGACTCTGCTTTGAAATGGATCATTCTGTGAAGTGCAGTGAAACTCTCATTAGAATAACTGTACTGATAAAAGAATTAGAAAGATACTATAGAATGAAGCCTGGATAAAAGGGGACTTCCTGTACCAGAAAGGAGGAAACACATAGGAGAAGGAGAATCATAATATTACGCAGTGAAGACAGATGTAGAAAGAGGTTAGGAACAGAAAATGACGTAAAAAAGGAAATACCTTAATTAAGTATCTGCTCCATTTCTCTGTGATTCTAATCTCTGGAAAACAGAGCAAGAAGTAGACCGCTGCCAAATTGCTTCAAGACTAAAGAGAACTGGGGATTGGCTTATCAGTTCATTCCAACCCTCAGATGCCTGAGACTCCAAACCTTTGGGGAAATAACTTGTCTCATTTTTATTTGCTTCGTGCCCAGTGTAATGAGCCCATGAACCTTATAGGTCCTTTTGGGTGTTACCAGTATATATAAATATCCTGCTGTCTCTTTCAAAATTTCTGTTGATGTTTGACTCTCTATGAAGACTGAGATGTAAAAATAATTAACAGGATTAATACAAGAAAAGATTACAGAACATGTGAAAATGAAGCAAGTGTTTAATCTGAAAAACAGTATTGAGTTAGAACCTAAGCTTTGGTTTAGTTATGCCATGTATTTTAGGTTTTTTGTATAACTAATGAATCACTGTGCAAGTGCTTAGTTTTGTCACAGCACCCTTTTTGGTACTCTGGGAATTATCAGTCCACTCAAAGAATTTGTTTCCCTGGTCTTTGATTCCTATGTTACAGGAGATGGCAGTAAGGTGAAATACTAAATTCCACACTTTGCCTTTGTTGCCCACTTTTTATGTTTGCCAAATCTCTGTGTTGTCTGCAGGACGGATTCAGCTCCATAAAAGCTGAGCTCGTTGGATTCTTACTGTGAGGCTGTGATTCAGAACAACATGTTAATTAGAGGCAGGTCATATTTGCTAACTGTTTCGTGGGGGACTGTTGGAAAATGTAAGACGTTGTTGCAATTAGGGAGGTATTCAAACTTTGGAGAGAGTCCACACTGTGTCACTACCAAACTTCACTTGGCAGTATGCAAACGTAACACTACACACATAAATAAACAAAATCAGCGTGGTAACACACACCTTTAAGCTTATATCTAATATCATATTTATGGTTATATATCACTGGACACTGACTGTAACTTTGAGCTGTGAATATTGACCTACATCTAGGTTTGCATTACCCAAATGATATTGCTGTAAGGAAGCCTTAGAAGGGCTTCCTACTCCTGGTGTGTTTGTAGGAACCTCGCATGCTTTTGGGAAATCAACAGGTAGATTTTCTCTGAAATTAAAAGATTTAATCAGATCTTAATGGATAAATGGTATCAACTTGATCAAACTCCAAATATCTGGTTATTATAACAATGTACTTCATCTTTGAAGTCTCACATGAAACCAGTAGTCTACTTCTTTTTCCTCTTACAAATTGTGGATTACTTTAATAAATAAATAATTAAATTATTTTAGTTTTACGAAGTAACTGCTTCAGATCACCAGATAAAAACAAAACAATTTTGGCAGGGAACTAAATTGTAATAAGGAGACTGTGCCAGCCAGGGGAGACAGAGGTTCTATAAATTCCAAATTATTTGTAATAGCATGAATAATGGTTGGAGAACTTTCACAGCACCTTTAAAGAGTCTTTGTTTAAGTCATCATTGCTTGTATAAGGATTGCTTCTTGAGAAACCCAAGATCCCCAGTGAAAAGAGCCCTGAAAATCACTGCTTGGAAAATAAGTTTTGATTTATGATAATATTTTTTCAAGAACAGTGTTATATTTTTCTCTTTGAATTTCGAGAGGAAGCCAAATTCTCATCTGAGCCAGTGAGGTAAACAATCTATCTCTCCTTGCCTGCAAACAATTGCAGACAATTCTCATTCAGAGGTACAAGAAAAAAGATAAATGGTATTGACTAGCTCTATTATGGGGACATATATGTTTATACACTTGAAATTAATCCAAATCTTTAACAAAGTAAGATAGATTAGACTAGATTTCATGCTTTATCCTTTCAAGTATTTTCATTGAAAGATGATATAATTGTTTTTTCCTGTTGATTGAAATAATCTCTGGCAAAACAATTTCTTCTGTATTTTTTGTAGTAATGTATAATTCATTATAGTTTTCAACACTTCTTTCACTATTTCCCATTTTAATCTTGAGTTCACCTTCTGGCATAAACCTGCCACAGCCTGGATTTTACCCAAAAGGCTAGGCTTGCACCTTTGCTCAGGTGAGCACTCCAAGTGGGTGCCACTGGAGAACATTTTACCCTGAACAATGTTTTTTTCAACTTCAGCTGAAAACATGGACAGTGCTGCCTGATCATTGTCTAGGAGGAGTGTTTACTCCACATGTGACTGTATTGTCTTGAGATTTGGACTAAGATGATTGGGTTTAGGAATCTTCATTATCCATAAGGATATTGAAAGCTCATCTTCCCTCCTGCATGACACCTCCTTGTCATGATTTAACCCCAACCAGAAGCTGAACCCCACTCAATCTTGCCCAGTGGAATGGGGGGGGAGAATCAGAAGAGCAAAAGAGAGAAAACTCGTGTGCTGAGGTAAAGAAAAAACCCCACACACAAGCAAAGCAAAATAAGGAATTCACTCATCACTTCCCGTGGACAGGCAGGTGTTCAGCCATCCCCAGGAAAGCAGGGCTCCAGCACTGGCAACAGTGACTTGGGAAGACAAATGCCATCATTCTGAAAGTCTCCCTCTCTTGTTCTTCTTCCCCCAGCTTTATATTCTGAGTTTTATATGCTGATATGGAACATCCCTTGGGTCAGTGGGGCTCAGCTGTCCTGGCTGTTCGCCTCCCACCTTGCTGTGAATCCTCAGTCCATTTTCTGGCAGGGTGGGGTGAGAGGCAGAAAAGGCCTTGACTCTATGTAAGCACCGCTCAGCAGTAATGAAAACATCCCTTAATTACTGACACTGTGTCCAGGACAAATCCAAAACACAGCCCCATCCTAGCTACTCTTAAGAAAATAAACTCTTATCCCAGCCAAAACCAGCACACTCCTTCAAATACGCCTGTGGACAAGCAGCGTTGTGTCACAACGTTGGAAGGCACAAGATGGCAGGAAAGTGTCTCCGTCACATTTTCAGTTTGTTCAGTAGTGGGCAAAACAACTCATACATTAGTTGGACAGATGACTTTGCTGCATTTCAGAGTCTCTTTAGAGTGACTTTCAGTGATGACAAAAGGAGCAAGAAAAAAAGGAATCAGGTGCTGTCATACAACATCATAAATGCCTGTATTAGACATTACAAATGATTAGCAGTATCCTGTGTACTGTCATTGCATTTGACACAAAGTAGTTGCAGTCTTGTAATTTCAATAATTTCAATAACTTCACCTGCAAACATCTGTAGATAGTAAGAGAAATTACTCCCAGTAGACAGTGGGTGATCATTTGACCCATAGGTTTTCTTGCCTAGGTCATGGGGTCTGGCTGATATTCACAGAATGTATCTCTTCATGATCTGGAAACTCCCACTTTGCAACCTGCTGGTTTTGCGTGTGCCTCCGTGGCGTCTGCCAGCGTAAATAGTCAGTGTGGTTTGAAGGAACAGCTGGTTGACTGGTGGGGCAGAAAGACATCTCCATAACATACTCCATCTGTTGATCTCACTGTCTTTTTGTGGCTCTCAGGGAGGTATGGCAGCTTCACACCCACCATGTGCTAGTGACCCTCCCCAGGCCAGCTGTACCGTGCCATACCCACCCCGGACAGCAGGCCAGGACAAGCAGCACTGCTGAGCTGGAGAGGCTGGTTTGGGCTTTGGCTGCCTGACGTCTGAAGTAGTGCTGGGATTTGTTTTTCTGCATCCCTTGCTCTCTTAGCAGCAAAACCCAAGTAACTGCACTGAGTTTCCTTTTATGTGCCTCCTGAACAAGCCTTATGTTCAGAGCTGTGCTGGTGACAATCAAATTAATCATCATCCCGTCGGCAGCTGCACTTTGCTGGGCTCTCCCAGCAATCTTAGAGTCTCATCCCAGGCTGTAAGCTGAATAAATCCTTGTCCAAAGTAGGTCAGCAAACCGTGCCTGGCCTCAAGAAACAGCTTTGATTAGGGACAGCAAATTTTTTGCGATTATTCATAATCATTTTCCTCAGATTTTTTTTTATGGGAAAGAGTCGTACAGACCTGGATGGCAATGCTGGCTCCTTGAAGCCTGAAACTCTGGCATACTTTACAGAAAAGTTGTTCTGAAGAGAGACAATCCCAAGATTTAGGCTTTAAAAAACAAAACCCCCAAAAATGTGTAAGGAATCCTTTGTAATAAACCTTGATATGCCTGTGCTGCTCTCATTTCTGTAACACTGAATTGATTGCTCCTCAAAAGCTGCAAATGTCTGAAGTTTTGATTTCGAAGTATCTATACATGTAATTTTAGCAGTTAAAAACTTACTTTTTTTCAAAACACTTATTTCAGCTTCTGAAAAAAAGTTGCCCTATTATCCCAGTGTCCAGGAAATTTCCCAAATTAATTAATCAATCACTTCAAAGCTCATGGTTATTTATTTTTCACTGTAGGGTTTCTTTTAAAAGATAGACTCAAGTGCTGGTATTAAAATTAGGGTTATTCCATTTTACAAAATATTTAGCAATGACAGTGCTACTTGTCACTTTGGCATTGCCCATTACAAAATTATAGTCTGTGGAGATAATTTAAAAATCAAATTGTCTTAAATAACTTTGCTTCTAAAGGAGCTTTTAGGTCAAGTCTGAAAGATTATATAGAGTACATAAAAACATTGTCTCTGGGCTACTTCAGATTGTCCTCTAAGCCATAAAATATGTCTCTGAGTTTTTTTTCTATAATGAAAGTCATGCTGTTGTCCAGTGATTCATTAGAGCTCTGGTCTAGCCCCTCTACAGATGCTGCCATTATTCTGCAATCAAAAAAGGCAACCAACCATTTCTGGGTGCTCTGTAAAGTCTTAAAAGCAAGATAGCTTAAAATAAATGTTTGTACCCTGCTGTGTTCTTATGATCTCCAATGCACTTTGGGCACTCCTCAACTATAAATAAGATCAAAAGATTCATTCTCTCATGCTCAAAAAAATGGGAAGAATGACAAAATGAAGCTTCTTGATATATTTGTATCATGACACATATTTTGACAATGTGATCAATATTGATTTGTTTTTTTCATGGGATACATATTACAATAGACTAACCTAAATAGATATCTATGAAAAAGTATATTTTCTCTAGAAATTTTGCAAATTCTTTTTTATTCATTTTATCATTGTTTTATCATTGCTTTGGGCCAATTTGTTTCCCAGGAATGTGCTTTCCTTGCCTGTGTAAGTTTGACAATAAAAACACAGGTTTTTTTCTGTCCTCTTACTTTTGAACTACTGAAAGCTGGTTCTTTGTTACCCAAAGATGGTGTTATTACCAAGGGCAACATCTGCTAAAGATTGTCAGCTGCCATCTGAAATACAGAATGATAATGTCAAGTCTCCAGCTTAATGTATATCAAAATTTTTTGGTTTGCCTTTACTGTAATTTACTGGGAACTCAGATGTTTTCATCATACTGCTGAGTGGGTTAAAATAAACATAAAAACAGCAAGAAGGGTGGTGCCCTTACTGCTTCAGGAAAACTAGTGTAGGTGCATCAAGGTATGAAAGACATTTGAAAAGAAAGCTCAGCACCTGCCTTTGGGTGGACAGTCACTCTTTGGCAGCATGATGTGAAAATGTAAAGTTTTCCTAACCACCCAGATAAGAAGCCTGTAAAAACAATTAATTACTCATTTTTTTCTCTCTGTGTCTTTAATTTCATTTTTGTTGATGTTTCTATTATTACTTAAAGGTAGCAAAAAACCCCAAAGTACACAACAGCCATTTTTCAGCAGGCTCTTTGTTGGTTGCCTGGTTGGTTTTGATTTTTATTGTTTATCTTATTTCAGAGCTAAAAATAATCATGAGGGGATGGGAATCAGAAACTCCAGCCTTCCTTATGCCACAGGCTTGTTAGTCTTGGCTGAATCACTTAGGTGGAACACTTCAAAACCAGTTTTTAGACTTGAATGCTCAAGCAAAGGGCTTTTGTTCGAATGACATCTCGATACTCCTTCTCCGGGGAAAGCGGAGCAGAGTTTGCAGCACCGCGTGTGTTTCTGAGAGTCTTGGGCCACCTCTGAGGCTGGGTGACATGGTGAGGAGCCCACACTTGGCCAGCAGGCAGCCTAGCAGAGGGCTGGATCTTCCTCCCTGCCCTCTCCCTCCTTTCTGCTGTTTCAAAGAAGTTTCTCTGTGTGAGAAACACTGCCCCAGTGTATTTTACATCAGCGGGAGAATAAGAATTTAGCACCTCTTATGTGTGTAAAACAGGAAGGTGAGCGAGAGGGGTTTGGTGGTGAGCAAAAAAGCAGGAGTGTGTTAATGATGTTGATGAATTACTGTTTGTTGAAATGCTGCTCCCTGCACTTCTTCAGTGGAAATTACTCTTTCCTAGATGGAGAAGCAATCAGTAGCTTGACTTCCTTACAGTTGCCAAAAAACATTACTCATGTTAGCAAAACAGCTTTTTGTTCTGTCTTTTTATCTCTTTAAAAGCCTCAGAACCTGTTACTGTTTCTAGTGACAGCTTGGAAATGAGTTGGATTATTTTTGTTTTGGGTTTTGGTTTTTGGTGGTTTTTTTTGCTAAATAGGAAAAGCAAATAATCCCTGATTTCACTCCCTGTTAAAATGCAACAGTATGGATCCTTTTGTGAATTCTCAATCACATTTGCAGCTCTGTTGAGGTCAGAGTAGCAGGCACAGCAAACCCTGTGAGCTGACCATGAGCTCTGCACGTGGAGGGGCACTGAGGTGGTGGGTCAACGCTTTTTTGGCTTGGGGTGATGTCTATGTCTGAGTTTCTTTTCATTTGACATCATTAATTCCAGCAGTACCCACTTTCAGTGTTGAACAGCTGCCAGTGCACCTGTACAGAAAGCCCTGGCAGGAGCTTGCATGCTTTTTCTATGGATTTTAGCAAAAATCCAAACATGGCAAGGACTTCAAGTGAGCTTTTCACACGCTGAGATCTGACTGAGTAAAGAGCTGTTTTATGTCTCACTTGAGACTGTCACTTTAGCCCATATTAGATGCACTTCCCAGTGATACCTGTGTCTGAGCACATGAGTCTCTTCTGACTCTAAGGGCAAGTGTTAAACTCATTGCTCTGCTGCCAAACTGTTTGGACAGACCTGACAGGTCTGCAGAGGTCCAAACCTGAGAAAAAAACTCCAGTGTCAAAAAAAATCCAGACTTAACCTTGTTTTGCGCAAGAAAATGTGTGAATTTTGTGACCAAATTTGTTCAGAAGAAAAGATTTCATTTGGACAAAAGGCTTGTTTACTCTCAACACTGACCAGGGAAAGGACGCGTGGTAAAGGTAAGCAGGAGGTATTTCAGTGTTTCCCTTATGTCCAGCCTGCAGTCACTTTGGTCCTCAATTTAGCATTAGAGGTTTTCTGTGCATTACCCATACATTCCAGTGGATAAAATTGCAAGGGAGCCACCAGCTCTTGCTTATCTCAAGGGACCTGAAGACACATGGCCAAATAGTGGGGCTGGACTGTCCCTGCGTGCAGGGAGCAGACCAAGGCTCCAACTCCTCTAGTGGAGCAGGTGCAGCCTTCTGCAGGAGAAGCCCTTTCACAGGGGTGGCAAAGATAGGAGAGATCCTAGCGTGTTCCCACACTATGTTATGGGACATTGTCAGACTGCAACAGGGGACCACGTCTTGCTGAACACTAGCTGAGCAGTAGGAACCAAGACATTTTCGTGAAGTCAGCTGTGGTGAACAGCTCTGTCAATGCCATTACTGCCTGAAAAGATTTCTTTTCCTGAGGTACTTTAAGGGGGAGGACCTTGTGGTATTCCCCACAAACTAAAGAGTTTGTCAGTGGATGTTATGGTGTGAAGATCAGAGAGAGCAAAGCCTGCTCTCTCCTCTCCTAAGCTGTCCAGTAAGAAAGGTGGTGAAAAGCACCACTTGAGGAGATAGAGGGCACATGGAGGAAGAAAGGTGGCAAACAAACACCAGAGAGCATCAAGGGGTTCCAAGGTATGTGGCTGAATTAATGGCCTGAGAGGGGAAATGGGAACATCAGGGGCACAACGTGTAGAAGGGAAGGAGTTTGTAGAAGGGAACCAGAGATCTGCAGCAGGGTGCTGGGTGCAGATACCAGGGAGAAAGTGTGGGGCAGACATTGTGGCAAAAACAATTTAAGTGGAAGTTGTCTTAGGACATCTGCAGACTCTGCAACTTCTTCCTTTGACATTGACCATTGTCAGGAAAATCCTGGACTCGCTTTCTACAGGGAACACATTTCAGGTGTGTGGAGCAGGGGATTTAAGGAATGAAACCTTGACGGAGAATACAGTGGCAGAGTGTCTTTCTGGACAGGGAAAGGGAACCAGACACAGGGAAGTGGGGGCTTGGTGCTGCAAACCCCCTTGTTGCACAGGGACTGGCTGCAGGCAGGTTTTCTGTGCAGCAAAAGCAGAGGTGAGAGAAAGAATCATAAGACTCTTTCCATGACAACATGGAAATTTTGTCTTCTCCTGGACTTGGCCCATCTGGTGCCATGCCCTGGGAATGGGAAACACTGAAATCCCCAGGGATATCTTCTGAAACCAGAAATTAGGGGAAAGCTCAACAGTTTTCCTGAGAACTGTAGAGATCATGAAGGGCCTGAGATGCCTCCTGAAAGGAACAACAGCATCTAATTCAGTGACCAGGCCCAGCTGTAATCGCATCCCTGACAGCAGCTGATGGTGGGCACCTGTGAGGTTGATCCCCCTGAAAGCACTGCTGATGTTCAGGGCAGGGAGCAGCAGAGTGAGAAAGGTCTAGGGTTCTCATTGTCACAGACTCACTTATTGAAGTGCTAAAACATTTGAAACCCAAATAGGTAGTGGAGGCTGTTGGAGGAGGTGGCCCAATGGGAGCAGAAATCCAGGTGGGAGGAAGTTGGAGAATTGGTAATGCTTGTGATGAGAGCCAAGAGTGGATGAAAACCCTGAGAACAAAATAAAGCCTTTGGAGGGCTTTAAGGGCTTTAAAGGGAATAAAGCCCTTTGGGCAAGAAGGAAGGGTTGGACCATTTGTCTCCTGTGTGTGGGAGGCAAACCAGCAGCACATTAGAGCTGTGTTAAAAGGTGAATATTTCTCCGTGGTGAAATCTGCTTTTGATCTCTCCTGCTGAGCCCGCAGTGGCTGGAAGGGCATTGCACACGTACGTGTGTTTGTCTGAATGCTCCGTGTTGCGTTGCCTCTTAAGCACAAGCATTCCTTTACTCGGTAAATACCAAAAGGGGCCGTGCCAGCCTCGGGACGCCGTGCTGACCCCAAAAGGCCCCCCATGCCCGAGCCGCGGTTCCCCAGCAGAGAGCAGCGTTGCTCCAGCACAGAGCGGTGCCTGCGCCTTCCCGGCTGCTGGAAGCGGCTCCTGCAGCTCTGCAGAGCGGCTCTGACCGAGACGAACTGACCCCATGGAGCATCGGTTTTCTCAAGGCAGCCGAGGAATGACCAGGGTCCAGAAAAAAAATTACTGTATTGAGAGTATTTAATGAAAGAAAAAGCAATCTATAGCTTGAATGAAAAGCTTTTGATCTGTGCACCAGGGACGTGAAAGGTAAAGCCACTTAGTCATGAGGGTCAGAGATTTATTTATTTTTTTTTTATTCCAGGATCACCTTTAGCATGAGAAGAATTAGAGCTTCATTACATCCTATGCTTTCCATTTGAAGATTTAAGACTTCTGGTCCTTCAAGCAGTGACATGTGCCAGTGTGAGTGCCTTGGCCCTGACCATCAGAGGTGAAGGTCACCTGCAATTGTAACTGACCCCAGGTGGGGTCTGGGGCACTGACACTGCCATCATTTGCTGTCTCCATTTCTGTCTCCTATGCGAGGTAACCCAACAAAGAGGAGTGTAATTCCAAAGGCTGAGCAGCCTTCGGAAGCATTTGAGATCATGTGGTTAGTCAGGAGCAAGTCCTGGTGAAAACCAGCTGCTGATCTCACATGCTGTGAGCTGGCAAAATTCCTTTTCTCAAGGGCCCAGTGAGAAATGTTCAGTGTACAGTCAATATTTCCTTTACAGCCCCTGATTCCCTCTGCTCCAGAGGCTGAAAGTCCAGGGATGGAGTTGGGTTTTTTTGCTGGGGAGAGCAAAGCAAAAGCTGTGTCCTAGGACAGGGCTGGTCCCTTTGGAGCCGCCTGGCACCATCAGTGGTGGGTCAGCCCAAATGGCTGTGTGTGCTGCTCTCCTGGAGAACAGCACAGCCAGTGGTGGGACATGTGGCACAGCCCTGTGAACCACTTCCATCAGTGGGGACAGCAATGGAACCTCTTACCAGCCCTGCATCCCCCCTTCATCCCATTGGGGCTGCACCCCTCAGTGAGGGATCATCCTGCACAGGATCACTCTTGGTGTCCAGCTCATCCCCACTTGCTTCTGTAAGTCCCTGGCAGGCTGCTGTTCCTGCTCTGCCTGCATCCCACTGATGTCTGTGAGGTGCATCTTGCTGCAGGCTTGTTGGGGCTTCTCTGCTGATGTATCCCTGTTTGTTTG